AGGCACAGTCAAAGGCCTGGAAAGGACAACTTTGCACTCTTCAAAATGCTTTGTAAGCCCAGCCCCTCTTTTAAGCCTCACCAGAGCAGCAGGGTAGGTGTGATTATCCATGCGTGTTTCACAGATGAAAGACTGAGGTTCAGAGGAGCTAAGCGACTTGCCCGGGAGAGAAGAAGGAAGAGGAGGAGAAGCAGAGGGGCTTGGCCAGCCCCACACGTGTCATGCTCAGTTCCTAAACAGCCAAGCGTGGGCTGAAGCGTGGTGCCTGCCACTGCCCCAGGGCAGGACTCAGTCTAGCCTAGGTGGGAAGCACGGAGAGGCAGCGCCCTCAAGGGTGTCACGCAGCAAGGAGGACCCCTGGAAATGCACTGACCCCCTCGTGGGAGGAAGAACACAGGGCAGATGCATGGGCCGGTTCAATATTGGTCAACAGCTCAAAGGTTAGGACAGTTGGCTGCACAGGGGAAGGCACCTCCACACCTGCCAGGACGTGTTGGAGGTGGGGAGGTGGGAGGAGAGGGGAGCAAGCTACATGCTGCTCAGACTCTCAGAGATGTGCTCTGTGCTCCCAGGGCTGATGCAGGAGCATGTCAGAACAACGGGAGCAGCCTGGACACCACCGTTCTTACGCCCCTCCTCCCAACGTGCAGTGCTCAATCTCAGGAAAGGGACCCTTTGTCTCACTCTCAGGCTGTCACAAAGGCACAGTAGAGATCTGTATACGTATGTTAAGTCCAATTGGCCTATAGTGTTGTTCAAGTCTTCTATTTCCTTGTTGATCCTGTCTAGTTGTTTTATCCATTATTGATAGTGGGGTATTGAAGTCTCCTACTATTATTGTAGAGCTGTCTACTTCTCCCTTCAATTCTGTAAATGTTTTCTTCATATATTTTGGAGCTCTGATGTTTGGTGCATGCATATGTATAACGGAGGTGGTGGGGGAGTGGATGTCAGGCAGGAACAGAGGAGGCAAGGCAAGGATGTGTGAGTATTTCTCATGGGCCACAGTGGAGCAGGCTGACCTGAGGCTATGTTGATCCTTGGGCATAAGATTGCCCCACCCTCTGCTGGGGTTACATCGCCCCCTCCAGGCAGTCCTCCTGGGTGGATTCCTCCATTGTGGCCAACTGGCATCCTTGCCCTGGCACTGGAGGAAGTGAAACTCACACTTGCTTCCTTCCTGTCACTGTCCTGCTACGTCAGGCTGATCCAACCACAGCTTTTCAAGCAGCTCTCAAGGTTTGGGTCTCTGAGTGGTTCACTTGAAGCTCCCCCTCCAATGGCCTGGTTGGGGAGAATCCTCCTTCCCGCAACACACACACAGTCTCTCTCCCTGCTCTTTGGCAGGGAGGATGTACAGCTTGCTATCTTCAAAGAAACCCTCTCTCTCCAATCTCTCAAACTCTATATTTCAATCCTTTATTCCCTTGAGATAGGTGATGAGCTAAAGGTGGCCAGATCAGCTGCCAGCCACCCCCTCTACAGGTCTTGCATAAATGACTTAGCACCTCACTTTGGAATGAGAGGATGTTTTGCACTTACTGTTTTGTTCCCACTGGTGGGCCTTGAGAAAAATCCCATTTTAGCATCCTGTCCTAGGAGCTTAGGCAGCAGTAAGCTTATGCCCCTCCTTGCCGCCATGTTTGTCTTGGGCCCCAAGCTCTCCACATTTTCCTCCCAACCAGCATAACTAGATTTCTCCCATATCCCCCAGCAATCTGACCCAACTGCATAAGAGAAGCTCACTTGAAGCGGATATATGATTTAATTGCATGAGAGAAGGCTCACTGGACAAGTGGATGTATAATTTAGTTTAAAGAGTCTGGACCAGGAGTCAGGCAGCCTGTCTTAAGCCTGTCTCTCCCACTAAAACGCTGTGGGACCCTAAAAAAGCCAGTTACCCTCTCTGGGCTTTTGTTTCTCAGCCCTAAAACAAAGCTTGAGCTTGATGGTCCCCAAGGTCTGTGCAGCTCTGGGATGCTGAGCTGGTCTGGGGGATTGTGCAAGGCCAGGGCCGGGCCAGTTCAAGGGCAGAGATGATGTCAAAAGCCTTCGAGCACTGCCTGACATTTCCAGTCCCATCAGTGGGCTGCTTTGTTTCAGGTGACAAGATTGTCACAGGATCCGTCTCCTGCTTTAGGGACATGTACTCCCCCAGTCCAGGATAGAGACAAAAGGGTGGGCCCCTGGGTCTGGAGGGCCCCAGGGTGATGTCAACCTCAGCAAGTTAAGGAAGCTGCGTGTTCTGATTAGCCTTATCCCAGGATCTAAAATAGGCAGCACAGGGAATGGCTTCCAGGCTCCCGCTCAGCTAAAGATAAAAATATCATGGGCTCGGGGATGTTCCCAGTCATAAATCAATCAGCTACGACTATTTCTGTCCTTATCCCTTGCCCGGGGTTCCTCCTACGACCTCCGTCCATCCTGTCCTCCCTGTCCTGGCCTCCCAGCCACCTTAGCTCTGGAGTAGGACGAGGTTCACCAGCTGCCTTCAGACAACAGTTTAGCAGCTTGCTCACCAACACGAGAATCCTACCCCTGCCTGCAGGTGAACAGATAGGCCTTCTAGTGCCTCCACCAGCCTCTGTGGGCCTGCTTAGCATGGGTCCACTCTGACAGGCTGATCGACTCCTGGCCTGTATGGTCTTGTTGTAGCCCATGGGCTGTGGTGGTTTTGCAGGAGTAAAGGTCTCTGAGGAAGCCCTCTGCATGGCTGTGAGTAAGGCTTCTCCTTCATGGAGTTACAGACATTAAAGTACTACCTCTCAAAACCACTGGGAGGATTAAATGAGACCCTGTAAATAAAACACTAAATTTGGCACCTGGGAGGTTGTAGACACTCAGAAAAGAAGACTTGCCCTCCCACAGCTAGCCATTCATCAGGAGCTCCGTCTCCCACCACTGACCCACGTCTTCAGAGAGCTCCTTTGAGGAGATTTTTGTCAGCCTGAAACCCTAAGTCAGCTTCAAATGCAGCTCTTGGAGAGACCTTTGAAGACACTTGGCTACCCTGAAATCCTAAATCAGTTCCCTAGTAACTAACCATAGACCTGGTGCTGCTGGGCCCGCTGGAGACTATGGTCTCACGTCCAGTCTTCCACCGCCCTCTGCAGGTTGCAGTGCCATACTGCAGGCAGCGCTGGCTGCACCCCTTGTGCGTCACCAAGACCAAGGACCCTCACGTTATAGTGTAGACTTGAGGCAGTTCACAGATTAAGACAGCAGGGCAAGGTCAGGTGTCTAGAGAGGACAACATCCAGCATAACACGGCGATTGACTGTTCACAAGGCACTTGCTCTTTTGATTTTCATGACCACTTGGCCTTGCCTCTGTTCCTAAGCTCAGAAGGGAATTCAGGCGTTGTTCAGCCCTATGGCCTCACTAATAACAGCTGACATGTCTCAGTCTCAGGCTATGCCCTAGAATATTCCAGAAATCAATGAAACAGACGTGTGGACCTCAATGTAAATATTGGTTCACTTCCTAAAGCTCTTCAGTTATAATTGTGCTGTAAAAACAGAGGCACGTCTAAAATACTCTGAGGAAGAGAATTCTGTAAGGAAGTGTGTGTGTGTGTGTGTGTGTGTCAATGCAAGTGCATGTGAGTGTTTGGTGTGTGCATCCTCTAGAAATGAAGGCTGCTAAGATACAGCATATATTAGCGTTGGGTGTGATTATGATGACTAATACGCGTTTCTCACATGCTGACCAGCTGACAGTTTCATTTACAGTATTAGTGACATCAAGCACTGGGCTCGACTGCATGGCCTCCACTATCCTCCTTCCATGGCCAGAACCATGGACCCGTCTGGCAGAAGGCTGGGTGTTTTATTCAGTGAAGGCACATGGCAATGTCACATCGTCCACCCAGCACCACATAGTGATGAAATCACTGTTGGAGCAACGAGAGCGGGTATTTACCTTTCTCCTGTCCTCTTTACCAACCTCAGGGACTTGGGGGGATCTAAGAAGAGTGCATTAGGCACAGATATCTCATTGTAGTGAGGGAGCCACATCTTTGATAGCTACAGATCCCTTATGCAACTGGAGTTTTCAGGTCACATATTTATAGACTTTTAGGGCTGGAGAAGACCTTAGAGATTATTCCAGTTGAATCCTTTATTTTGCAGTAAAATGAAGCACAGAAAAAGAGAAGTGACAGTCCAAGGTCACACAGACAGTTAGAGACACAGCTGGGATGAGAACCCAGGCTCCTTGACCGTTTTTCCTCTGGCTGATCTTGATGTTGGTAGCATCTTTTCTAGGTGGAAATTACTCTGGCTTCAAATGAAGATTTTTAAACCTGATCTTTTTTCTGAAATGCACAACGTGGAAGAGGAAGAAACCTAGCACACTGTAGGTGCTCAATAATTGGGCTGGTCGGCTTTTGGTGTTCTAGAATAATCTTACTTTATGCAGCTTAACAAGATTGGATCCATTAACCTTGAATTTGTTTCAGTCTTTATTCTCTTCCAATGACCCAAAGGTGAGTAGAGGTTTGACTCTCACCCCACTGTCCCACTGGAAATTAAGTATGGATCTGAGTTATAATATGACATACGTTTGTTTGAAGGAAAGGCTTTCTGAGGAAAAGCACATGGATTTAGAGTAACTTTGGTTTAAGCTCCTGGAGGTTTGTGGGAATCCTCTTTGAAGGACAGACACTGTCACCCCTTGAGGTTAAACAGGCTTCACAGTGAGTTGAGACATAGCACAAATAATTCCTAAACCTACTTCAAATAAGTGATTAAAACAGACATGAAATGACCCTAATTGTATACTAAACACTTGGGCCCAACAGTTCTGAATTTGCTTATCATTATGTTTGCAAATCTATTTTTGATCAAAATCTTCCAATGCATCAATGTTCTTCCAAACACCATCCTGATGACTCACAGCGGTGCCATCCTACGACTTCTATAGATTCATGTTCTGCAGGATATGTTCCACACTCCATGTAAGCCCCAGTCTAGCATAAGAAGACTCCACCGGGGGCTTTCTCTTCAGACCCTCAGAGACCAGGGTTTATAGTTTTCTGGTACATCAGTGACACACTAGGGAAGAACAATAGAAAATTCACTGCCAAAGTGTTTCCATAGCATGGGACACAGTGCCCCCTCCTGCCCTCTCACGCACATGCCACCTCCCATCACTGCCAACCACCATTCCAAGACAAACACCACTCTGCAGTCCTAACTGTTGGGAATGTCCCCAGGGCAGGGCCTCTTAACTTCCTAGTCAATCATTTACTTCTATGGAGCACTTTCCATGTGGCAGGCACTCCAGTAGGCTCTGGAGATACAGGGATGGACAAATACAGAAGTGGTCCCTTCTCACGTGGCACTCACAGTCCTTCAAAACCATGATTGGTTCAAAGACTCAGCTGCTCATGCAAATCCATTGCAGGCATTTTAAATCACTGGTGTGTTGAAACATAGCAAAGGGGCTTGGATTTGAATCTTTGCTTTAGGTCTGGGGCCTCAGAGCGGCTCATTAAATCATTGAATTCTGTATCAGATTGTTTGCAAGGAGCTAACTTTGCAACTTGTGCAAGCTTATTGGGAGCCCAGCAGCACCTCTCCTCTCAGGGCATGGAGTTTGGGTAACTGTCAGCATCGGGGCCATGTGGGAAGGTTCTGGGCTGTGGGCAGGTTGCTGCACAGCTGTGGGCATCCTCACTGCCTGGGAGTTCCACACATGGTCTGTGTGATTCTCACTCCACAGCTAAAGCTATTGGCAGACCTGAAGTGTGGCCTGACTGGGGACCCATCTGCCTCCCTCATCCTCAGTGCTGAGGTCTGGGATGGCAGATTTGCCTGCCCCGAGGGCTCTCCTGTAGCCTCCCCGTCCCTGAAACGCTTTGTGTCCGTGAGTACACACTTCACCTCTAAACCCGAAAGGCCTATCAAATTTCCTATCAAATACCTAGAAGGAAATCCAACTTGGGTATCAGGAAGAACCCGGTCTGCTAACTCAACAAAGGCTGCCATGCAAAGGCAATTGGAGAGTCCAATGTGTGCAGTGCCCACGTCAGCGCAACTCAGAGTCTGGGCTGGTTCTGAGGTTCCAACCGTGGAAGACACTGTCCTGGCATGGTCTTATTTCACCAGGCATTGTCCACTACAAGTATCCCACAGGGGCTTCCCAGAATGATTCCAACAACCATGGAACTCCTGTTACATTCTGCTACATACACCTCCAAGCTAGTAACCCATCAATGTAATGCAGTCATCTGGTTTCCTTAAAGGCTGCAAAGTCTCCAAGGGCAGCCATGTGTCCCCACTATCAGCACAGCACATGGTAATCACAGGACACATGGGGTCCATCTAATGAATCAATAAATTCCTCTTTTTCTCTCATCTCCATAGAACCTCACACAGTATCCCTAACAAAGAAGGGTCTCAAATATACTAGTGATGGACCCTAAAGATTAGGTTCTTCTGGAGTTTTACCCATCATCCTCAACTTCATGGAAAATAATGAAATCTGTGGGTCATAGCTGAGCATCAAACAGCCCTCCTTCCTTTAAGGAGGCTCAGCTACAAGCTACGCTTTAGGAGCTTTCTTGTTATTTTCCTGCAAGTTCAAGGGTGGTGCCTCAACGGCATAGCGAAGGGTGGCATTGACCCAGGGATGCCCAGTTGAGAGAGAACCTAACATCTCCCTCTCCTCTCTGCAGAGCCTCCCCTGCAGTACGCAGGCCTATGCCTGGCCTCCCCAGGACTAAGGGGGTGCTCGAGAGGCATCGTACCAAGGTGGTGAACTTGTCCACACAGGCGTTGCGGATCTTCTCTGGGGTGGCAGGGCTGTCTAGCTGGAAAAGCTCCTTCGTATTATAATCTGTGTGCTGAGCTCGAGCTGCGCGGATGGCGTCCTTGATGGCAAAGAAGATGGAGGCGCCGAGGAAGAGGGGCGGCTCCCCAACAGCCTGAGCAGACAGAGCACAGGACAGAGAATCAAGGGCAGTGGCCCCAGGCTCCACACCAGGAGGGCTGGTGTTGCCAGGGACCCCAGCCAGCGGTAACAGACCACACCAAGCACGGCAGGAAGGGCCGTCAAAATCAATCAGGGGCTGAGAACAATGGATCTAGTAAATGACTCAACCTTGTTAGCACATTTCTTTTAACGCTTATTATGTGATTTTCTCTGATGACACCATGCAAATATAATGTACCATTAAAAGTTATATTAGGGCCAGCCCCGTGGCTTGGTGGTTAGGTGCATGTACTCCTCTGCTGGCGGCCTGGGTTCGACCCCGGGCGCACACTGACGGGCCACTTCTCTGGCAGTGCTGAGGCCGGGTCCCACGTGCAGCAACTGGAAGGATGTGCAACTATGACATACAGCTATCTTGGGGCTTTGGGGAGAAAAAGGGGAAAAAAAAGGGGGAGGATTGGCAATAGATGTTAGCTCAGAGCTGGTCTTCCTCAGCAAAAAAAAGAGGAGGATTAGCATGGATGTTAGCTCAGGGCTGATCTCCTTCACAAAAGGAAAAAAAAAAGTTATATTAAATAATTATATTTTATAGACAAAAAAATCTGATATGAATTTTAACCCTTTCTACAGTTATCAGGCTATGGGAATACTCTCCCTGCAACTCTGACACCAACAGTTACAGGCGCCATATTATACTTACAGCATCTGTTGGAATATAGGCCTCATGACAAACAGGAATTAAAACATTTTCTAGCAGAGGTTGTTTTGTCCTCCAAAGCATAGATCAGAGACTACCTGTATCAGAATCACTAGGAGCACTTGTTAAAAATGTAAGTTCCAGAGCCAGCCCTGATGGCCTAGTGGTTAAAATTTGGCACTCTCTGCTTCGGCAGCCCAGGTTCGGTTCACACTGGCGGAACCACACCACTCATCTGTCAGTAGCCATGCTGTGGCAGCGGCTCACATAGAAGAACTAGAAGGACTTACAACTAGAATATACAACTATATACTGGGGCTTTGGGGAGGAAAAAAAGTGGAAGATTGGCAACAGATGCTAGATCAGGGCAAATCTTTCCCAGCAAAAAAAAAAAAAAAAAAAAAGAATGAAGG